AAGGTGATTTCCTGTCTCTTCCCACACGTATAAAGGATATTTCATGGCAGAAATATGTATTATAATGAGTATAATGTGTTCACCTTAAGACAACAATGAATAGGGTTTTCTAGCCTTTCTAAAGCGTCTGAGCGCTTGGGAGTGCTGGAAACGCCTTTTCAGGGTGAAGAAGCGCCTAAATCAACGACTTCATGATTGGACAAGTGTAGTCACCCAACTTACAGTTGTCATATTTTATCTTAAGACAAGGTGATTTCCTGTCTCTTCCCACACATATAAAGGATATTTCATGGCAGAAATATGTATTTATAATGAGTATAATGTGTTCACCTTAAGACAACAATGAATAGGGTTTTCTCGCCTTTCTAAAGCGTCTGAGCGCTTGGGAGTGCTGGAAACGCCTTTTCAGGGTGAAGAAGCGCCTAAATCAACGACTTCATGATTGGACAAGTGTAGTCACCCAACTTACTGTTGTCATATTTTATCTTAAGATAAGGTGATTTCCTGTCTCTTCCCACACATATAAAGGATATTTTATGCCAGAAATGTCTGTTTCTAATAGTATAATGAGTTCACGGTAAGACAATACTATATAGCTTATCCAGCCTTTCTTAAGCATCTGAGCGCTTGGGAGCAAAGGATTCGACTTTTCAGTGTGAAGAAGTGCCTAAAACCTCGACGTCAAGATGGTCTATAATAATGAGATCACGTTAAGACAACACTGAATAGGGTTTACAGCCTTTCTAAAGCGTCTGAGCGCTTGTGGAGTGCTAGAAACTCCTTTTCAGTGTGAAGAAGCGTCTACATCCACGACTTCATCATTGTATAGGTGAAAATGTGATTTCCTGTCTCTTCCAACACAATAAAGTTTCTTTTAACGCAGAAATGTCTTTTTATAACCAGTTTAATGAGTGCACGTTAATACAATACTGCATAGCGTTTCCAGCCTTTCTAAAGCGTTTGGTGGCTTGTGGGGTGCAGTAAACGCCTTTTCAACGTGAAGAAAAGCCTAAAACCACAACTTCATCATTGTACAGGTGTACTCAACCACGTTGAATTAGTCATATTTTTTCTAAAGAAAATGTGATTTACTCTGTGTTCCATTACATATACAGGATTTTTCATAGCGTTTCAAGACTTTCTAAAGCGTTTGAGCCGTTTTGGCGTGCTGTAAACGACTTTTCAGTGCAACTTATCATCTATGACAAAGATCTCAGTATTGTACACGTTGAGTAACCAAAGTAAAAGCTTCAGTGTTCATTCTCATGAAAATGTTTTTCATGGTCGGTTTCATTGCAGTCAAAGGGATTTCGCGAGCGGAAACTGGGCCTAGGCCTCAGAGCTTCCATTCCACATATTACTCTTTGCAGCCTTAACGGTTAAGATTCTTGATTGGGCATCAGAGGTTCATGCACAATTTTTTTAACCATCTTAACAGGTTGGGATTTTGGCTGATAGACCCTTCGACTTCAAGCTCCTATTCTAATATTATAGTCACTTTTATAGTCAGTTTTTATGGAGCCCAAGACCTTTGGCAGAAAGGTCAGATTAAATATTTTTTTAAAGCTAAAAGTCTGGTTCCTGGTTATTAGGTCTTGTCTTCACAATATTAATTCCATAGTCTATTGTAATAAGATAGAGGCCTCTGAGACTTTGTTTAAGAGTTCATATCATGAAAAAGCACATACTGGGTATTGGCTCAGAGATTTCATTGCAATTTCTTTTCATCCTTGGCCTCAGTTCAGAAGTGCAGTTATGAAACTCTGGGCTTTGGCCTCCAAATTACAATTAAAATTTTATAGTTCCTGTTCTAAGAGGTAGAATCTTGGCCTTATTTTAAGCGATGTTGTGTTGGTGATATAATGCTGGGACCAGGCCTCAGAGCTCCTATTCCACGTTTTTTTTGCTTTACAGTCGAAATAGCTGGCAAATTTACTGGACCATATCTAAACCTATAGACAGGGACAATATTGTTGAAAAAAAAACCTATATAATACCAAACTCTAAAGAACAGTCACTATAATATTGGAATACGAGGTTGCAGTTATTAGGTCTTTGAACCAAAATCCCAACCTGTTCATATGGCTGAAATGAAATCATGAATGAGCTCTAACACCCAGGCAAGGGTCGATTAACAACGACCAAGCCATTGAGTATGTCGAGAATAAAATGTGTAATGGAAGCTCTCCATCGTTGATGAGAAATTGCAATGAAATAGATAAAACCCAAGAAAAGAACAACTACCCTTATCTTAACGTGAGGACACCATAATGATAAACAGAAAACAGAATTTTCAGAAAAAAGAAATAAACAGACACATATTCCAAAAAAAAAATTGTGTTTTCAGCACTCCACAAGCGCAGAAACACTGTAGAACGGCTGGAAACGCTATGCAGTATTCTCTTAAAGTTAAATCACAATAATTATATTGAACAACCATCTCTGCCATGAAATATCCTTTATATGTGATGGAACAGACGGTAAGTCTCATTTTCTTAAGAAAAAAATATGACTACTTTAACTTGGGTGACTACACCAGTACAATAATGAAATCAAGGCGTTTGTGGCTTGTGTAAAGCGGTTGAGCGCAGTAAACACCATTTCCGTGTAAAGAAACGCCTAAAACTACTATTTCATAATTGCGTACTGATTTGGTCACCCAAGTTAATGCGTTAACGTCTGTTTCGGATCATTATAATAAGTACACGTTAAGAGAAAACTGCATAGGGTTTCCAGCCTTTCTAAAGCGTTTGAGCGCTTGTGGAGTGCTGGAAACGCCTTTTCAGTGTGAAGAAACGCCTAAAACCAGGATATCATTTTTGAAGAGGTGTATTCACCTAAGTTAAGGTAGTCATATTCTTTTTTTTCCTAAGAAAATGTGATTTACTGTGTGTTCCATTACATATAAAGATATTCTGTGGCAGAAATGTCTGTTTCGGACAATTATAATGAGCTCATGTTAAGAGAATACTGGACAGCTTTTTGTGCCTTTCTAAAAAGTGTTTGAGCGCTTGTGGAGTGCTGGAACCGCCTTTTCAGTGTGAAGAAACGGCTAAATCCTCGACGTCAAGATTGTCCAGATGTAGTCACCTAAGCTAAAGGAATCATATTTTTTCTTAAGAAAATGTGATTTACGGTGTGTTCCATCACATGTAAAGTACACTTTGTGTCGTAAATGTCTATTCTGGATCATTATAATGAGCTCACGTAATGAGAATACTGCATAGTGTTTCCAGTCTTTCTAAAGCGTCTTAGGACTTGTGGAGTGCAGGAAACGCCTTCTCAGCGTGAAGAAAAGCCTAAAACCACGACTTCATGATTGTACAAGTGTAGTCACCCAAGTTAAAGGAGTCATATTTTTTCCAAGGCAAATGTGAGTTACTGTGTGTTCCATTACATATATAGGATATTTCTTTGGCATAAATGTTTGTTAATAACCATTATAATGAGTTCACGTTAAGAGAATACTGCATAGCGTTTCCAGCCTTTCTAAAGCGTTTGAGAGCTTGCGGAGTTCTGGAAACGCCTTTTCAGTGTGAAGAAACGCCTAAAACCAAGATTTCATGATTGCACAGGCGGAGTCACTCGAGTTAGTCATATTGTTTCTTAAGAAAATGTGATTTTATAATTATTACAATGAGCTCAAGGTAAGGCAATACCGCATAGCGTTTCCCGCTTTTCTAAAGGGTCTGAGCGCTGGCGGAGTCTTTTCAGTGTTAAGAAGCGTCTAAACCCTCGGCTTCACGGTTGTATAGATGAAGTCCAAGATTTCATGATTGCACTGGTGGAGTCACCCAAGTTATAGATATTGTTTTTTAAGAAAATGTGATTTACTGTGTGATCCATTACATATCAAGTATATTTTGTGTCTGAAATGTCTGATTCGGATCATTATAATGAGCTCACGTAATGAGAATCCTGCATAGCGTTTCCTGCCTTTCTAAAGCATTTTAGCGCTTGGGGAGTACTGGAAACGCCTTTTCAGTGTGAAGAACCACGAGTTCATGATTGTACAGCTGTTTGTCACCCAAGTTATTGTGGTTCTTAAGAAAATGTGATTAACTGTTTGTTTGACTACATACAGAGGATATTTTATAGCAGAAATGTTTGTTAGTAATCGTTTTAATGAATTCACGTAAAGAGAATCCTGTATAGCGTTTCCAGCCTTTCTAAAACGTCTGAGCACTTGTGGATTGCTGGAAACGCCTTTTCAGTATGAAGAAGCGCCAAAATCCACGACTTCAAGATTGTACAGGTGTGGTCACCCATTTTAAAGTAGTCATTTTATTCCTCAAGAAAATGTGGTTTACTGCATGTTCCCACACAAATAAAGGATATTTTATGGCAGAAATGCCTGTTTATAATTATTATCATGAGTTCACGTTAAAACAGTACTGCATAGCAAATTCAGCCTTTCTAAAGCGTCTGAGCGTTTGTGGAGTACTGAAAAGGCCTTTTTACTGTGAAGAAGCTCCTAAATCCTCGACTTCAAGATTGTACAGGTGTAGTCACCCAAGTTAAAGTAGTCATATATTTTCTTAAGAAAATGTGATTTACTATACATTCTCATACATATAAGGGATATTTAAGGCCAGAAATGTCTTTTTATAATCATTTTAATGAGCTCAAGGTAAGGCAATACTGCATAGCGTTTTCAGCCTTTCTAAAGCGTCTGAGCGCGTGTGGAGTGCTGGAAACGCCTTTTCAGTGTGACGAAACGCCTAAATCAACGACTTCATGATTGTACAGGTGTAGCCACCCAAGTAAAAGTGGTCATGTTTTTTCTTAAGAAAATGTGATTTACTGTGTGTTCTATTACATATAAAGTATATTTTTGCCTAAAATGTCTGTTTCGGATGATTCTAATGAGCTCAGGTAATGAGAATACTGCATAGCGGTCCCAACCTTTCTAAAGCGTCTGAGCGCTTGTGAAGTGCCGGAAACGCCTTTTCAGTGTGAAGAAACGCCTAAATCCACCACTTCATGATTGTACAGGTCTAACCACCCAAGTAAAAGTAGTCATGTTTTTTCCTAAGAAAGTGTGTTTTACTGTGTGTTCCATTAAATATAAAGTATATTTTGTGTCACCTAATTTAAAGTAGTTATATGTTTCCCCAAGAAAATGTGATTTACTGCATGTTCTCACACAAATAAAGGATATTTTATGGCAGAAATGTCTGTTTATAATTATTATAATGAGTTCACGTTAAACCAATACTGCATAACGTATCCAGCCTTTCTATAGCGTCTGAGCGCTTGTGGAGTGCAGGAGAAACGCATTTTCAGGGTGAAGAAGCTCCTAAATCCTCGACTTCAAAATTGTACAGGTTTAGTCAACCAACTTAAAGCAGTCATATTTTTTCTTAAGAAATGTGATTTACTATATGTTCTCATACATATAAAGGATATTTTAGGGCAGAAATGTCTGTTTATAATCATTATAATGAACTCAAGTTAAGGCAATACAGCATAGCGTTTCCAGCCTTTTTAAAGCGCCTGAGCGCTGGTGGGGTGCTGGAAACGCCTTTTCAGAGTGAAGAAGCGCCTAAATACACTCCTTCACCTTTGTACAGGTGGAGTCACTCAATTTAAAGTAGTCACATTTTTTCTGGTGAAAATGTGATTTATTGTATGTTCCCACGCTTATAAAGGATATTTTATGGCAGAAATGTCTGTTTATAATCAGTAGAATGAGTTCACCTTTAGACAACACTACATAACGTTTCCAGCCTTTCTATAGCGTCTGAGCGCTGGTGGAGTGCTGGAACCGCCTTTTTAGTGTGAAGAAACGCCTAAATCCTCGACTTCAAGATTGTACACGTATAGTCACCCGTTACAGGAATCATATTTTTTCTTAGGAAAACGTGATTTATGGTGTGTTCCATTACATGTAAAGTATATTTTGTGTCTATTTCGGATCATTATAATGAGCTGACGTTATGAGAATACTGAATAGCGTTTCCAGCCTTTCTAAAGCGTTTGAGCGCTTGTGGAGTGCTGGAAACGCCTTTTCAGAATGAACAAACGCGTATAACCACGACTTCATGATTATACAGGTTTAGTCACCCAAGTTATAGTAGTGATGTTTTTCTGAAAAATATGTGATTGACTGTCTGTTCCACAACATATAAGGTATATTTTATAGCAGAAATGCTCCTATTCCAAATTTTATGCTCTAGAGTCCAAACGGCTGGCTCATGTTACTGGAACTTTGCCTTGGTTTTAGGACTTTCATGACAATATTATTGTACCTGTTTTAAGGTTTGGTGTTTTGTTAGTGGGCGACGGACCAGACGTCCCAGCATCATTTCAACAACACAAAATCCCTTAGAATAAAGCCAAGACCCAGCCTCTTAGAATAGGAACTATAATATTTGAATGGTAATTTGGAGGCCAAAGCCCAGGGTCATATAACTGCACTTCTGAACTGAGGCCAAGGATGTAAAGAAAGTGCAATGAAATATCTTAGCCAATACCCAACATGAGCCATTTCATTTTGAAAGAGCAAGATGGGACATGAGCTATTAAACTCAGGCCCAGAGGCATCTATCCTATTACAATAGAATAGGGAATTAATATTGTGAAGACAAGACCTAATATTCATGTCCCACACTTTTAGGCTTAAAAAAAATATTTAATCTGGGCTGTGAGCCTTAACCAACCCTTAAGAACAGTGACTTTAATATTGGAATGGGAGCTTGGAGTCGTTGGTACTATGTACCAAAATCCCAACCTGTTTAGATGGTTGAACAGAAATTGTGAATGCACCTCTGATGACCAGGCATCTGCTACCAATGACCAAGACATTGAGACTGTAAAGAATAAAATGTGGAATGGAAGCTCTGAGGCCTAGACCCAGAGTCCTCTTGTGAACGTAAAACACCTTAGAATATAGTGAATAATTTTTTTGGGGAGGGCTAAGGCCCAGGCCAATGGCCCCTGCCAAATTGCATCGAAATAAGGAAATCTGAGGCATCATTTTGAGGCAAAGGCCTAAAGCCCAGCAACTAAAACCAACTCTTAAGGATAGAGAATATGTTATATCCCTGATTATTCTCCATGATTGATAAGAAATTGCAATGAAATTACTCAAGCCCAGAAAAAAACCAAGTACCCATATCCCAGACAGTTAGTGTGTAAGGATTAAAAATTTGAGCAGGAAAAAAGGCCTAACATCATCTACTCTGAAACAAAATCCTTATAATAGTACAAAGAATTTTTTTTGGTTCTCTGAATCCCAGGCTCAGGGTCTTGTTCTCAAGGTTTTTCGTTTAGATATGAAAGATTAAATTCTAGGATTTGTTTTCTAAGCCTCTGGTCCGTAGCTCACTAATAATGAACCAAACCTTAAGATAGGGTCAATAATCTTGACATGAAAGACCTAACACCCCACCAAATTTCCAGTAGTATGAGCCAGCCATGTGAACTCTAAATAATAAAATTTGGAACGGCAGCTATGCTGCGAGGTTCCAGCATCATATCACCACACATTTGTCTCCAAAGGAACTGGCCTATATCCAAATTTTCATGAGAAAGAACTCTAAAGCATTAACTAGGGTGACCAAACGTTTACAATACTGAAATCATCCTTATGTACGCGAAGATACACTGAAAAGGCGTTTCCAGCACTCCTCAACTGCTCAAACGCTTAAGCTTGAAACGCTATTCAGTATTCTCTTAACGTGAAGACACCATAATGACTATAAACAGACATTTCTGCAAAAAATACTTTTTATTTATAATGGAACAGAACTGAAATAACATTTTCTTAAGAAAAACTATGACAACTTTAACTTGGGTGAGGACACCTGCACAATCATGAAGTTGTGGTTTTAGGCGTTTCCTCACCCTCAAAAAGGCGTTTCCGCTATGCGGTATTCTCTTAACGTGAACTCATTGTAATGATCAGAAAAAGATATTTCTCCAATAAAACACTCTTTGTATGAAATGGAGAACAATCCAAAAATCATACTTTCATGAGAATGAAAAAGCATTAACCAGGGTGACCAAACCTGTACAATACTGAAATCATCCTTATGTATGCTACAATGAAAAGGCGTTTACTGCACTCCACTAGCACTCAAATGCGTCAGAAAAGCCAGAAGTGCTATGCAGTATCCTCTTAACGTGAAAACATTATAATGATTATAAATAGACATTTCTGCCTTAACATACGCCTTGTCTCCAAAGGAATTGACCTATAATCAAATTTTCATGAGACAGAACACTAAAGCATTAATTAGGGTTACCAAACCAGTACAATACTGAAATCGTCCTTATGTATCCTAAGATCCACTGAAAAGGCGTTTACTGCATTCCTCAAGCACTCAAACTCTTTTAAAAAGCAAGGAGCGCTCTTCACTGTTAAAAAAATAATGCATAGCGTTTCTAAAGTGTTTCAGTGCTGGAGTGCTGGAATCGTCCTTTCAGTGTGTAAAAACGCCTAAAACCATAAGTGATTGCCTGAGCCTCACCACAAGCATTTCAATGCATAAATGTCCTGACATGATGTGCAAATGACAAATAAACTTGAAACTTGAAACACAATTGGGAATTGATATTGTGAAGACAAGACCTAGTAACCGTGACCCAGATCTTTATGCTTAAAAAAATATTTAATCTGAGTTTTGAGCCAACGGTCATGGGCCCAATAAATAATTAACCAATCCTTAACAATAGTGACTAAAATATTGGAATGGGAGCTTTGAGTAATTGGGTCTTTGAACCAAAATCCCAACCTGTTCAGATGGTTGAAAAGAAATTGTAAATGCAGCTCTGAAACCCAGGCAAGGATGTTACCAAAGACCAAGCCATTGAGACTGTAGAGAGTAAAATGAGGAATGGAAGCTCTCCATGGCTAATAAGAACTAAACAATACTTACTGAGTCTCACAGAGTATTACTTAGTAACTATGGTTTCTTAGAATATCTACTCATAACTTATCGTTCAATTCAACATTAATTGCTCAAGAGTCTGACAAGGTTCCTGCTGAACTACATTGTAGTATATTCCATGTCTAACAACATGTCAACAACATGTCAACATTATTGTCCCTGTCTTAAGGTTTGGTTCATTGTTAGTGGGCTACAAACCAAAACCTTAGAACATAAGTCCTAGACTTTCATCTTTCTTAGCTAAACAAAAGAAGCTTGAGACCAAGACTGTATCTACATTACACAGTGTGCAGTCTCTACAATAAAATGGATTATATCCTCCATTTCTATTCACAGAAACAGGTATCCTCAGCGAAGGCTGGGGGCATCACACCACACTGTACTAACCGTTGTCTCATGTGTTTGTTTTGATCAGAAACCTTAAAAGGCTAATGCACATCATCATATTTGGCAGCGTAAACCAATTTGCACATTAGCCTACAAATAGCACAACTGCTAAAATACTACAGCATTCAGTAGACCAGTCTGCTTACCTCTCATCTTTAGAAAAGAAAACACCATTCTTTTTTTGCAGGAGCATGTGTGCCAGTGTTTCTTCTGAACAGTAGTTCTTCTTTAAAGTCCTCTTGAGGGCAGAGTCAGTTGAAGAGAGGGCTCACAGAAATATGTGACTGTGTATGTGTCCTGCCTTCAAATTCACTTGGTTCTAAATATTACCCAGTGATTATGTAATTACTGTCTATTTGATTGCTGTTCTTCATTAGGAGCGAATGATGACCAGGAACAACATAAAATGAAACAATGGTAACTCATTAATAATGAACTAGGAGCTAATGATGATCAGGAAGAGCATTAATAATAAAGAGAAAAAAATGGTAACTCATAACTAATCAACTAGGAGTTAATAATCAGGAACAGTATCATAAAGTGAAACACATGGTAACTCATAACTACTAAACTAGAAGTTAACAATGATCAGGAACAGTATAAAGGGAAACACATGGTAACTCACTATTAATGAGTTAATGATGATCAGGAACAGTATTATAAAGTAAAACACATGGTAACTCACTGTTAACCCTTAGGACCCTGAGGACTTCTAGCCTTCATAACGTCAGAACAGTTTAAGATACAAACTTGATCCACGTATCTGGACATTCAGCAGACCTGCCTCTGACTAGCAAGCATGACTTCATTGAGCTGATATTATTCCTTATATTATTGCTCTTTGGCCTTCATATTCCAACAAAGGGTTAAAACAGCGATATGATTCACACATCAGATCACTCATCAGACTCTGCTCTCACAATCCAAAGTGATTTCCAGCAATCCATCTCCAAAATCATCCAAACCCCAATTGCTACAGCTTTTAGCCTTCATATTTCATACTTCATATTTAGCCTTCATATTATAAACAAATGTTCAGTTTACATTGATTTTGAGTATTAAAAGTATCTAATATTAAATATGCAACTCAATATATAACTAAAAATAAAGCCTGTCTTGCTGTGTATCAGAGTTTTAGCACTGAGCATGAATTCAGGAGGACAGAAAATCAGTAAGTCTGCCTTATGCTAGTTGTTTATTTTTACTCATAACCAATAGAATGAATCAAAAGATATCAAATTTCTGTTAGCATTTACATGTCAAACAGTGGCATATCTGAGTAGCCCAGGGTCTCCTGAAAATAACAACGTATGGCATGTGTGACTGTCACATAAATACTTAATAATTGCAATTGTAATTGTAATTGACACCAAAAATACCAAAAAAAAAAAAATCCCTGAAATTTTAGGTTTCTAGGGGATAATGAACTAGGAGTTAATGATGATCTGGAACAGTAGTATAAAGTGAAATACATTAGAAATAAAAACCCCTAAAGAAATGATGTACTGTAGTACAAAAAATATTAATAAAGAAATTTTGAAAAAAGTAAGAGTGTTTTTTCTCTATTGCAAACGCTATTCATTACATCTCTGGAAAAGTGTCCACCATATGTTGAATATATGTTTAGGCTAGTCCTAGCCTCCCAAAATTTCTGAGCATTGGCCTTTATTGTCCAAAGCAGGCCTGTAAAGATGGGCCACTGGAAAATTCTGCTGAATGGTTCCTCTTATCTACTCAAGATGCCCAATGATATGGAACAAGATTTTTGACAAGATTTTGGGCTACTTCTGTGAAATTTTTAGTGTTACTCTATGAAGTGAATGTTCTATGATTATACAATACATGTGCAAAATTTCAGGTGTTTCAGCCACACCCATTGCTAACAGGTGTATAAAATCAATCATAGGCATGCCGTCATAGACAAACACTGACAGTAGAAATAAGCAATAAGCCATGAGAAGGCGTGCATTACTGTGATTTTATTGCAGGGTAAGGTGTCCGCGTTCTGCCTAAAACCCCTTTTCCTACAATTAAATCACAGTACAACAGTTGGCCAATAGTGATCAGCTATCCTCTTGCTATCAGGAAAAATACACAATTTCTCAGTAAATAATTTATTATTACTAATAATCAACATAAACAAGTATTTTGCCAAAAAAATGTAGTTTCTTTAGCGTGTTATTGTTGACAAGCAACCATGGACTGCTGAATGAGGAGAAGAACATCACTGTATAGTGCAGTTATTTCATGAACGTTTTAACATTGTAACATAGCATTGTTTGATGAAAAAGACCTTTGCTTTATAAATATTTTTTGGTCACCAAATTATCACCACAATGACCAATGACAATGCTAATTTCCATTAGTGTTCTAATATGATTTAAACTGTTATTTATCACCAAGTTAATGGACCCCTCTTCTTTTAGTGGGGCTGCATCTCAAACGGCTCCCTGCCCCTAAATAGTGCACTATGTAGGAATTTAAATACTGACTTCTGCACCTCATAATTATTATATATTATATTGCTTTAAAAATAGTCATTTGGGATTCAGCCATGACCATACTGTACAAATAGTACACTTGGCTGTAGTCAAAATTTACATAGCACACTATTTAGGGAGTATGAGCCATTTGAGATTCAGTCTGGGTTTGATGCTACTTAAGGCAGATCTGCCTAAAACATGGATATTCACGACTGTGATATTAATGATAGAGTTGTTTAGCATATTTGCTATTTGTATCCTGTTAGCTAGCTGACCAGCCTGGATATAGTTAAGAAAATACATTGTCAGCTCCTCAGTCTAAGCAAAAACAGATTCTTACTTTATCAAAACACTCAGTGTTTCAGCCAATCAGATTTTAGGACTAACTTTTTTTTTAAAAATAGAGTGCTACATAGGCTTAGGAGACCATAATGCTTGCACTAATTTAGTATAGATGGCAGGTGCCAGTGTTGATGTAGTTACTCAAAAAATATTCCTTCACAGGTTACTAATTACCTCTCTAAAAATGTTGTGGGATTATGTAACTTATTTTGAACCAAATTCCAAAAAAGTTGGAGCAGTATGTGAAATAAAAACAAAAACAGAAAGCAGTGACTTATAAAGTGCAAAATATGACAACGAAGGCCCCATGTGGATACATAGCTGAAGATCAATTGGTGTCTTTAGTCCCCAAATGTTTGTGAAGAGCTGTTGAAAGGAAAGGTGATGTAACACATGCTACTGTCCCAGTTTTCTCGGAATGTGTTGCTGCCATCATATTTGGAATGAGCATACATTTATAAAAATATATATATTTTCCAACATTCTCCAACCCCACTTTACTTTGAATTAAATAGACTCTTTTTGTTACTGTGCCTTTTAGACTGGTATATGTAAATGAGCTATGTTCTGATTGGCTGTCTATAATGCTCCTCATTCAAAAAGCAGCCCAGGTTAAAACACTGCTTATGACTTCACTGTTAACGGGCAGAGCTGTTGGCCAAATTGGTGGATGTATGTAAGCATTGGTTTTCCTGAGATCATGACAGCTGTGAAGTCAAAACGGATTGTTTTTGCAATTTACTTTCATATATGGACTGTATCAACGTATAACGGAATAATGGTAAAACAACAAACGGTCATTTTTACTTACATCGAAGTACACTTTTAATGTACAAATAAAAAAGCAAAATTCAGTGTTCAATGATATAGGCCTTTTGAAATAAGCAAAATTATCTGCCACTACAGTGAGATCATTTTAAATAATAAAATAAACAAAACCTGTCTAAATGTTATAGATCAATTATCTTTTAATATTCGTATAATTTCAAAATGACAACTGTTAGAAATATTGACTAGATTTAAGATGAATTCACTTGCTAAGACTGCAGTGTAGACGTTTTTTCCTAGCGCCCCAAAATCCACCCCGCTTCCTCTAATAATTAGTATAATCATATACCCACTTATAGTTGTAATTCAAGACCATATTCCAAGTCGCCTCAAATGGAAAAGGAAACATCTCCTGCGAAACATGCAGCACATCAGGTCAGTTTTGTACGAAGGGTATTAAATAGTTTTGATCGGTTCATCGTCCGTTTCTACAGATACCATCATGTTTTAATCCTCAGTCAGGAGTCATAGGCATGCCCACATGATTTTACGTAAAAACAGACTTCTACATGTGAAAGGTGTGTGAGGTGAAGAGAAAAACGATTGGCTCCTTGACACCCACGGTTGGACAAGTTACAGTAAAGACGACAGATAAAACGGCACACTTGTCCGGAGGCAGGGAAAGGAGTTTGCAATGAGCAAACGAGACTGCACCTTTTTAGGTAAGTTTGGTCTCATTAGGCTGCTTTTCACTACGATAGGTAAGTAATTCTGTAGAAGGCAGTGCAATATTACGACACTATTCTGTTTGTTGCTGTTATAATGCTTCAGTAATGCTCTAAAACAATTACACTTTGCAGGAGACTTCTTAACTGCTTATTTGTAAATTAAACACGTTAGACTAAACGTTAGACTATACAGTGTTGGGCCTTCAAAGCAGGAAGTGGTAAAAGTTATTTTATGCTCTCTTCTCTGACGAATGATTAAGATTAATTCCGGAGGATCAAAATATGAAGACCATGAGTCCACTTCACATTGTCACTCCTTTAAGAGAGAGTGTGCCCCTGTCAAATGTAGCAGGTACTTCAGTGCATCTGAAGCTGGACTCCTGCCAGCCTACAGGTAGCTTCAAAATTCGAGGCATTGGTCATTTGTGTAAAACGGTAAGTCTGTCGTGCTAATAATACTGACCTCTATGTCTTTGAGTCATAATTTGTGTTGTTTTATTTTCTAAATCAGGGACAGTGTTTGCCCAAATGTTTTTACTACCACATCATGGCTATACAGTATGATTATGAGTGGGCCCATTTATTTATATGCATGGGATGGGGCAATGTTGTGGGTTTTAAACTGAAATGTGAGTTCCTTCTGTTCATTGTGGGGTGATGCACTGAATGTGTCTGTATGATCGGTAATACTTCCAGCTACAAAGAGGCAGGAGCCGTTTCAAATTGGCAACAAGTAATTAAAGTTGAGTTTTTTTTTACGTTCAGACTTGTAAAAACCTATATCAATCAGTCATCCCCATATAACTGTTCCTTAGAGTGACTTTTTTGTTTTTCAACGAAGGGGACCATGACACTGTTCTGTGTTCCTGTAGTGGGCAGACACTGGCTGCACTCGATTTGTTTGCTGCTCGGGTGAGTTAAAAAATTATTACCTTACAAACACAAAGCAAAGCATGGATATGTTAAACTAAAGCACAAAACATCATACAGCAAGTTGCTATCATTAGTTGATAAACTAAAAACTTTTTCGCTATAATAATCAATGTTTAAATATTTTAAATCAATAATAAGATCTTATTGTTTATGTTTCTTTGTTAAAATAGTTAACTGACCAAAAATCACGACGTGGCAAACAGCGACAACCTCACTGTTTAAGTAATGGCACACAAACTAGTTATATGCCATAGCAAAAAGACTTGTCACTATGTCATATTCTGCATCTATGTGCTGTTAGGAGGCAATGCTGGCATGGCAACTGCGTACTCTGCACGGAAGTTGGGAGTACCTGCCACTATAGTGGTGCCCAGTGTCACTCTCTCTGGCACTGTGCAGAAACTTAATGATGAAGGAGCAGATGTGATCATTCATGGCAAGGTGGGTAAAGCTGACATTTTTTTTTGTCATATATGTAAACAGAAAAAAGGCAAATTGTTATACTGCTTTATTTATGCTGACACACACACACACACACACACACACACACATATAAGATTAATTTTACATTCTGTATAAATAAGCGGTATTGAGATCAGCTGTTGTAAGTGATTCGTTTTTATTTTCAGTCACTGAATGAGAGCATTGAATATGGTAAGCAGCTAGTGTCTGACAACTCTGGCTGGGTATTCATCTCCCCCTTTGACGATCCCCTTATTTGGTGAGCGAGCATTTATTCATTTAGCAGACAGTCTTATCTAGACCAGCTTAAAAAAGCTGCAAACATTGAAAGCCAAACCCATACAAATTATGCAATTTACATTTACACATGTTACAATTTATTACAATATACTTTATTAGTTATTATTATAATCAAATTCATATTTATCATAATACTTCTAATATGTATTTTTTAAATTTTATTAAGAAAATACTACATTTGATACGCAATAGGATTCACATGTAGCAGTAGGTTTAAAATGTTTAAACAGTCCTGAATTCAGCCTCAACATGGTGCAATCATAGGAGAACGCAAAGTTAATTTACTAACCAAAAAAACGATGTGTCATGACAACAGTATAAACACGGGTTTGAATTTGCAGGGAAGGTCACACATCTCTGGTAAAAGAGCTAGAGTCCCAGCTGGATGAAAAGCCAGGAGTTGTGGTGTTGTCTGTGGGTGGAGGTGGCCTCTTGAATGGAGTTATTGAAGGACTCCACCGTGCTGAATGGGAAGATGTCCCGATCATAGCTATGGAAACAGTGGGTGCCCACAGCCTCAATGAAGCCATGAAAGTGGGAGAGCTGGTAACACTGCCAGACATCACCAGGTAATGATTTGCAGTGACTGAAGTGTGTATCTGTGCATGCAACCTTTTTAATAAAGACAACAGGCTGTGACTGGCAAAGGCTGGTAGACATTGTATGTCTTATGTTGTATTTCTTATTTTAGTGTTGCTACCACATTGGGCCTTAAGCAGGTGTCATCTCAAACTATGAAGCTTGTGGGTGAACACACTGTCTACTCAGAGCTGGTCACTGACCAGGAAGCTGTATGGGCTCTTGAGCGTTTCATTGGTTAGTAGTAAAGCACACAGGCAGTAAAAAATAAATAAAGAAATAAAGAATTTTATACTAGACAATTAATAATAATAATAAAACAAATATTTATTTTTACTAAATACATTGATTAAATTGGAAGGCTCAGTTTTCCCTCACAAGCCCAAGTACAACTGAGATACTTTTTAGCCTGATTAAAGGCATTTTTGCCAAGCACTTGGCTCTTCATTCCACTGTCCCTTGTACTTTCTCCCTGCAGATGATGAAAAGATTCTAGTCGAACCAGCTTGTGGTGCTGCTCTTGGAGCAATTTACTGCAACATCATCAGCCGTCTACAGAAGGAGCGCAAGCTGGCTCAGAAGTTAGGTCCTGTGGTCGTTGTGGTGTGTGGTGGAAACAATATCAGCATAGAGGAACTGAAAAGGCTGAAGAAGCAGCTGGGAATGACCTGCTAGACAAGCATACATCAGATTTCCAAAAGACGAACAATGTTGGAAGTTTGAACATCACATTTATGTATATGTTGAACAATTTACTTTAAATAAAAATGTTCAGTGTTCCAGTCAGTATCATGAATTAGTACAGGACTGATTGCTGGTCTTTTGAATTTATTAATGTACCAAATGTATTTTGCATGTTTATAAAATGTGGCAGCATTTGTGCATTATGAAATATTATTCTGCATTCACTGTAATTGTAATTGGCCACATATAAAATCAAGTAAACACTCATGTTCAGAAAGTTTATATATGACAGGCCAGTGAGAGTGAATTCTATGTATATTTCTACCTTGCACAGCTAGGTCCTATGTAATTCTCTGAAACAATTACATTTTCACAGAAAATAAGATACAGGATAAAGAAGAACTAGGGGCCTTATGACACTAGGACCCCCCTTGCCAACATGTAATTATCTTTCTTGTAACCATTATTAACCATTAAATATTTAGTTAATAATTGTGTGGAAGAACTAATGTCCTGCTCTAGAGTCCCAGTTATCAACATTCCATTATATAATGTTGCTTGATTTATTGGATAATACAGATTTGCACTATTAGGCAAACAAAAGCGTAAAATACTTAAGGAAACAAAGGCCTCATTGAAAGGATTTTCTACCCAGCAGCAACCCTCTAAAAAGGTGCCTCCACAGGAACCATATCTTTGAGGGGAAACGAAAAAAGAAGAAAAAAAATTCAGCAAACCCTGAACGCCTAACACTCTACACAAAATAAAAGACATCCGTGTCCCAAGGGATCTAAAAAACAAATGTGCTTGCTCTCTGACACACATCTTTAAATACAGTGCTCTCGTTAACCCAGCTGTGCTTGGAACCTTCATTCCTATAGGTTAGGTTTTGTGAAAATGGTATACTGAATCTTTTCCCTTAATCCAGAAACCTGAAGAGAAGTTTTCATAAGTAACTTGTCAATAAATCAGGAGAAATATTCATGCATGTCCATAAACACTGGCATAAAAGGATAAACAGGAGTACTCTGCAACAAACAGGTGCCAGGTTGTGAATGAGCAGTTAAAATATTAAATACAATGTTGATGCAATAATTGCAAACAGTATACATTAAGACATTTTTATTTTATTTTCATCGTGACACATCTTGAAACCAATATCACCTCAGTAGAATTCATTCACAGATCTGTGTTATATTTCAGATGTGCAGAGGTAAGACAGGGAAAGTTAATGCAACCATAAATAATTATAATAAATATCAAGTTTATGTACAACAGAGATCTTTGTTCTTTTTATGCAGATGCCCTTTGACAAACCCATTATTCTTCCTCTGAATGAGAAAGATAGAAAGAATATCCTTTAGAGCAGCAACCACATCAAAATGTGCCCCAAACTATGTGTATATTTTGAACTTTGTGGGGCAGGTCTGTGGTGGGATTTTCAAGAGGCATCTATGTCACAATGGTTCCATTCAAGTTACACAAAATATTTCAGCATAAGCATGAGAGTGAACAGTAAAATCCATTGGAGATACAATAAATGTAACTAAAGTATTACTACTTCTTCCAAAGTTAAAGAAGGACAACTGGAAATCCATTAAAACATCCAATTCCAGGTTTCAAGTCAAAGTTATGTATATATTTTTGGAAGAACAATGTGAAAACAGTGAAATACCTGGTGACTACAGGTAAAATATTTTATACTCTAGGCAGAAGCTTATGTGTATATTTATAAGGCATGTACTTTTACACACCTAAAGCATTTCAGTATTGGAGGAGTGGACTTTGCAGAATCCCTATAAATCCTTTTAGCTGACAATTATATAACTTGATTCCCCGCAAACCCTGATGGTATGATAATAAACAATGTATGCAGGGCTTTCGCTACCACAATGGCAGAGGAGGAGACTTAGTAGTATAACTGCATACAACCTGTGAGAGAGATAAGTTGTTATGCCTCAGAAAAAAGAAAAAAAAACAGTTCTGGTAGGCTGTAACAGTGCCATGACCACAGATATGCTGGACAAAATCACATATGCACATTTGGTAAAGAGCTCAAGTCCCACATCTTTCCCACTGTAGCAACCAAATGAAAAAAAGATACTAAATTCACAACTCAATATATTATTATAACTTGACTTTGTACATATTTTACAAATAAAATATATGCACCTTTATCAATATAGGCAGAGAATTCCTCAAGTATGCCCAAAGTAGTCCATCTTGCTGTTAGAATACATATTACTATATGCTTGACCATAACACATGCTAAGTTTTAGATGCAAGTTGAGCTAGTAGCATCAACAGTTCCTTTTTGATATGAATGCTAAAAGAAGTCCTTTCTTACTATAAATCTTTAATAATCTATGAAGTAGGAGGTAGTCCTTTCTTGAGTCTTTCCTATACTCTCTAAACATGTATATCAATACCCTTGTCTTTTTAATTTACATCTCTAAATTAATTTCAAAACTCAGGCAGCACTGCTGTGAATGAAGGTGTGTAAACAAACATCACCAAGGCTGGAGAGAAAAAAGGCAGTACTAAAAACACTGAAAGAGAAAAAATTAAAAAATGAGAAAACAGGGAATTTGAGATCAATCACAAAAAAGTGTAAGAACAGCAGGAAAACATGGGAAAGAAAAATAGAAAGTGGAATGCCACATTCTTTGTTCTTCGCCAACAAACTTACTTTGTGCCATTACCATCCAGTAAAAAAGCAGGTACCGTCTAAAGCTCTGATTCAACTCAGAAAAAAAAAAAATCTGGTTTTTATAACGGCAAGTGGGATTGGGGCCCCATCAGTCTGTCCTGGTCTGCATTTCCAGTCATAGCAATAAAGCCTGGGTGACTGTTAACTTGGATAAAAGGGGATTTCTGTGTAAGTAGTGTGGAAAAAAAGTTGCGGGTTTCTATCCACTGAGGGGGTCCTCACGATAATGTATAGCATAGCGTAACTTCTCCACCATTACATCAAGGGAGGAGTACTGAGGCAGCTTCACCATGAACATGCAAGTCTCCACTCGAATGTAGCGCAAGTCTGGTGAACCTAGAACACACAAACAGTCATCACTACTCATTAAAAAAACGCTTGTGCAAGAAGTAAACTTCTTTAAAAATGTTCTCTCCAATGTTAATGATAGCCAGTTCTATCTTTTAGCTAAATCTACCCTGTTGTATGATAGCTACTGACTAGAGAGGTGAGCATGTGCTTTCAACGCAATCCAACCTGATCTTTCCAATCTTGAAACAAATGACTACTGAGAACTGAACTTGTGACTCAGTAAAAAGATGCAGTTTTCTCAGCTGTCTTTTTCCCTCATATTAAAATATTATCTGTGGTGAGATGCTGTTTGTTTGCACCATCTAAATTATTTAAATCCGTTCAAGACTTAATATTTATGAATGAAAAGACTTCATAAATTATTCTCTTCACTACAAACTAAACATTTTGAGGTAGCAGTTACAAAAAAAAAAAAAATAAAAATAAACAAATAAATTCTCACCTATGTGAGCTACCAATTTATCATCAAGTTTTTCTATATCTTGTATATCTTGTCTATCTAGACTTTGGAAAACTATTTCATGTATAGTGTATGCTAAGATGATTATGACTATCTGAATTTTGTCAGTTATACTGTCACTGTCATATGCACTGTCCTGTATACACATTTCCACGCTGTTTTTTACACTGTTTTTTATAAGTCCGATGGGAAACAAACTTGCAAGCAGTTGTCTGCTCTGCACACTATGACAACAATGAGCCATTATTACGACATGGCCATCCTAGTCTGCTGACCTAAACCCCATTAAATACCTAGAAGATACGCCTAAGAGGAGAGTCCAAAAGACTCTTGAGGAGGTTAGTTAGATTTCTGTTAAATTATGCAGGGAAAAAAAGCCATGCTGCTTTGGAATATCCTCCCAGTCCAGAGATGTTCAGGATTTACAAAAATCTCAAAAGGCTGAAGATCTACTTGTTTGGTCAAACCTTACATTCTTCAGTAATTAGTTTCTCACAAAAGACGCAGATTTGGGGGTTTATGGAACTAACATAACTAATGTGAACTAATGAGGTGATGTTGCCCATCTGCTCTCCTGCAGTCACTCAGGTTTGTTTCTAGTGGAATGGAGTGGTGCCAATATCTCAGGGAGGCCTCATGGCAATGCTACATTCTGACTCAGGCTGCTGGAGAATCTGCCTGCACATTTTTCATCATACATACTATATACAGTACACTTGAGACATAACTAAATCACTTGTTTTTTTGGCCCCTGCTGTTTTGTATGATGTAGGTGCAAGCCTTGTCCTGATGGGGTGTTCATGTTTGCTTGTCCTCTGGACCAGCTCAACCACCAAGGCACCATCTGCATGCACAATTCACCCTCCTGTTGTGATAGAAAGCCTCATCTGGATCTGCTACTCTTCAGATTTTTTAGAGGGGCAACCTGTGTGCCTGGTGAGGAATGACTTTGTGATACTATCCCACTAATTCCAGGAACTAATTCCTAAGTCAAAAGAAGGAGGGTACTCAGTGACAGTATTAACTTTGGCCAGGTCTACTTTAACGCTGAAAACCACATTCACTCGTTTTAAATTTTTAATCTGTAGCTACCTTCAGACAGCCTGTAATTGTTTTCACTTGAGTTTAACTTCTCCTTTCTGCTTTTGATTTTATTTTTTTTCCCAATCATTTTGTTTTATACTATTTCTATTTTATTTCATTTTATTTGGTTGAGTAAAAACTTCATTTGATCTTAAATTTATTATTGTTTTCTCCTCTGGCACATCAGCACCAGACTGTTATTAGTAAAAGAAACGGCTGAAACAGCTGTGCAGGAAACTGTGTTTATTTAGATGAAAGAACCAGACGGACTCTAAGGAAACTGTGTGTTTTGCTGAAGAAGAATTGCAGGCGGGGTCGTCTACACAACTATTGGTGGCTACATCTCAGTGCCAAAGACGGCATGAAGTTTCACAGACAATGAGAATGATAATCAAAATGATCGATTCACATAGAGACAGGAGTGTGTGGAACTCCGGCGCGCCAGTACAGCAACTGAGACCCCAACGCGTTATGGCAGCCCCTCCTACAATTTGCCCACTTTATCCTCAAAATATTAAGATTTTTTTCTCTCGAAACATTACAACGTTTTTTTCTCAAAATATTACGACTTTATCCTCAAAGTCTACTATTTTTATTTTTATTAACACTGGCCCTAAAACGCTGTCATAGTTTACTGCTTAAGCTCACTTTATGTCTTTCTTCATAATTCTCATAACTCTTGTTGTTTTTCTAACACTGGTGTTAACAAAAGATGGGTTTCCCTTTTGAGTATTTGTTATTCTCAAAGTTTCTTCCATATGTTCTTTGTCCTTGCCACAGCACAAAAGACAACATACAAAGCAAAAGAAAACACAATGGTACAAGCAGACAAAAAAAAAAGGTGAAGAGAGGTCATTTATTTAGCAATAAACAAAATTTAGCAACACAAACCTTTTGTTTATTGCAGGTTAAACTGGTATATTTTTGTGTTTGGATGAGTAACTGAACTGTCCCTTCAAATGAGCTAACTTGTGCAATTTTGGAAGCTGATGGGGACTTATTTTCTACATGAGATTCTCTTCTCAGTGGATGTTTGTTAATGTCTTAAGATTACATTGAGAACTGAGGAACATCTGTTCATTGTGGCCCTAGCCAGTACATAGCCTAGTTAGTGATACAGCTGCACAACCTCTGACCCCTGAATCATGTTCTTGACATTACAATTTTGGCAACATGCTTATGTTAAGGCAGTCATGTTTTGCAGAGGCAAAGTGTAATATATGTACATATTTGCAAATACAAGCCTTTGCACTTTACGGCCCTGTTAAAAAATAAAGCTGTCATTTCACTGAATTGTTGTCATTTTCCATGAAGGAACGTAAATAATACTTTAACAGTGATTTCAGCATTTAAATACTGGCTTGATTTCATTTCGTCCTGGTGCACTTCTGATACACTAGAAAAAACAAATCGATTTGTATGGAATACCAAGTCTCACTGAAGTATTTGTTATAATGTTGAAATGTTAAAACCATAACAACAACACCTGTAAAATTTAACAAGAAACATACTATTCTGATATTTTTAAGGAACTGTAAAACTCTGTTCAGAAATGTTTTAGAAAAAAAGGTCATTTTCCATTTTATATTACCAAAGCTTTGAAGCTACTAATATGTTGCCTACGGTATCAATTTGACATCAGTACTGATGTACCAAAGCTTCTATTAGAGCCAAAGTCAAAATTTTAGTTTTGATCCAGCAATAAGGCTGACTCTGTCGAGCCTAGCTCCAAGCTGCTATGAAAGAGTGACGCCTCACATCTGTAAGCTGTGTCCTTTTTCCAGTTTACTGTTTTTGTGACTTAGGGTTTGCTAAATCGATAGTCCACCTTCACCTTCCACTTTTTCTTACAGGGGAATAGTCTCTTTTTTTCTTTTATAATCTTTTTTTTATTTCCAATTTAGTCCGCACCACTAACTAGGTCTCTCCTCCCTAAAGCATGATAGCTACCAACATGGGATGTTGACGGCTAACATATGCCTTCTTTGAGACACACGAAGGCAGCCACCTGTTTGCTGTCTGTTTGCAACGTCATTAAGATTCAGCCCTTTAACATGCAGACTGACTGCTTGGTTACACACATTTCATGTTTAACATGCTTGAAGAGTGGTAAATGCCCTTTATAGAACTGCAATTAGCTAGAGTTGCATGAAATGCTAGAGTGAAAAACAAGGTCATCCATCTAACCCTAGATGGTTGCATCATTCATGAGCCTGTAGGTAGTTTTTTAGTGATTTGAACAGTATCTCTGCATCTTTTCCAGAACAACTTGTCACAGCACATTGGGTTAAACAATACTTAATAAGACACAATGTGGCGGCTAACTTGCATTTACCGTCTGTCTGCCAAGTTGTCTTCCATTTTACAAATCCACAAAAAAAAAGTTGTGAATTAGACATACCCACTGCCCCATCTGGGGGGGCAATCTTCATTGGGTAGGGAGGCACATGAGCTGTGTCAGGCCCACCATCCTTGCAGGGGCAGGTGAAGGGGATGCGCTCCTGATTGCAGGCAAACTTAATGAACTTACAGAGCTCTTCCTGTGTGAACATCTCCAGTGCCATCCAAAAGAACTCAATGTGCTGATCCGTCTCCATTAGCCCCACCTGGTACATAGTGTGAGCCTGGAGAAAACACGTGATGAGAAGAGAGGGTTGACACACTACTATGTAACATTGTCTGAGGACTTGCAGGGGGGTATAGCATTACTTAAATATCAGTTGCCTGAATGAGAATGGAGATGAACTTGTGCACTTAGTAGCTGAGATAAATACAAACAAGCAAACAAACAAACAAACATCTCCTAATAATGTCAAACTCCAAATGAAATGGCAAAGGTATACTATGTCTATTAAGATTCAGCCCTTTAACATACAGACTGACTGCTTGGTTACACACACTTCATGTAACAATCTGACGCAAAGTGTATCGCATCTGTCTCCAACTCTACACTTTATTTAATGTGATTGCAATATAAGGGCTATACACCATTTACTCACAAGAGTGCATATCGAAAACACAATCTGATGGCCTGAAAACCCAGGTTGACATTTCTACAGCTGGAATCAAATTAATAAAAGATAAAATGTCAAAAGCTTATAAGAAGTAAACACTTGTGTTTTGCTACTGAGGTTCCTCTCTTCACATAATATAGAGTAAAAAGATAATAATAATAATAATACATTTCAATTGTATAGTGTGTTTCTTGAACCCATGCTTGCTTCACAAAAGCAATACATACTTAAAACATAAACAGATCAACAGTAGACAAAACGTACAAAGAATATATAAAGGGGAGAAGGTAAAAATATCTAAGTGCTAAGGTAGAGTGAAGTGGTAAGGTCAGCTGACATCTGAAAGAAGGTAATACCACAAAGATTTTGTGGAAGTGAGAATCATGATTTGGGAGCTACAACACAGCCCTCCACAGAAGCTAGCCTAAATTGCGGGAGAGTGAGCAGACTCAACAGATGTTAGGGCATGAGCAGGGATGGACATCGGAAACTGTGACAAAAGCTTAAATCCACAACCCCATTTCCAAAAAAGCTGGGACGCAGTGCAAAACGTAAACGAAAACAAAATGCAATGATATGCAAATCATTTAAACCCTATATTTTTTTTAAAATAGTACAAAGACGGCACGGTGGCGCAGTGGGTAGCGCTGTTGCCTCACAGCAAGAAGGCCCTGGGTTCGATTCCCGGCCGGACGGCCAGGGTCGTTTCTGTGTGGAGTTTGCCTGTTCTCCCCGTGTCTGCGTGGGTTTCCTCCGGGTACTCCGGTTTCCTCCCACAGTCCAAAAACATGCAGTCAGGCTGATTGGACATGCTAAAATTGCCCCTAGGTGTGAGTGAGTGTGTGAATGTATATGTCGGTCTGTCTGCCCTGCGATGGACTGGTGACCTGTCCAGGGTGTATCCTGCCTTCCACCCAATGACAGCTGGGATAGGCTCCAGCACCCCACCGCGACCCAGAAAGATAAGCGGTTTAGATGATGTATGTATGTATACAAAGACAACATATCAAATACTAAAATGGAGAAATTTTGTTTTTCGACAAAACGTGTCCATTTTGAATTTGATGGCAGCAACACATTCCAAAAAAGTTGGGACAGTGGCAAGTTTACCACTGTGTTGCATCACCTCTTCTTTTAACAACCCATTTCCCATTCTTGCATGATATAAGATTTCAGTTGCTCAACAGTCCGGGGTTTCTTTTGTCACATTTCTCGTTTCATAAAGTGCCATATGTTTTCAGTGGGTGACAGGTCTGATCTGCAGGCAAGTCAGTTTAGCACCCTAACTTTTTTACTACGGAGCCATGCTGTTGTAATATGTGCAGAATGTTGTTTTACATTGTCTGGCCGAAATAAGCAAGGCCTTTCCTGAAAAAGACATTGTGTAGCCAAAACCTGTATATAACATTCAGCATTAATGGTGTCTTCACAGATGTGCCAGTCACCCAAGCCATGTGCACTAATGCATTTCCATACCATCACGGATGCTGGCTTTTGAACTGTGTGCTGATAACAAGCCTGATAATCTTTAGCCCTGAGGATGCAGTGTCCATTATTTCCAAAAAGAATTTCAAATTTTGATTCAGCGGACCACAGAACACTTTTCCAATTCGCCTCAGTCCATCCCAAATGAGCTCAGGCCCAGAGAAGGTGTCAGCATTTCTGGGTCCTGTTTACATATGATTTCTTCTTTGCATAGTAGAGTTTTAACTTGTATTTATGGATGCAGTAATGAACTGTGTTCACAGACAGTGTTTTTCAGAAGTGTTCCTGAGCCCATGCAGTGACTTCCACTACAGAATCATGTCTGTTTTTAATGCAGTGCCACCTAAGAGGCCCTGAAGATCTTGGCTAGTCAATACTGGTTTTCAGCCTTGTCCCTTGCATACACAGATTTCTCCCGATTGTCTAAATCTTTTAATGATGTTATGTTCTGTAGATGATGTAATCCCCAAATTCTTTGCTATTTTATGTTGAGAAATGTTACTCTTAAATTGTGGCACTATTTGCCCACGCAGTTTTTCACTCAACACCTCCCCATCTTTACTTCTTAAAGACTCAGCCTCACTGGAATGCTATTTTCTATGTTCCCAGTTAACCAACCAATCTGTTGCCCATTAACCTTTAGGTGTTTCTTTTAGCATTACACAACTTTACCAGTCTTTTGTTGCCCCATCCCAACCTTTTTGGAATGCGTTGCTGGCTTAATGTAATTCCTCAGTTTCAACATTTGATATGTTGTCTTTGTACTATTTTTTATAAATATAAGGTTTAAATGATTTGCATATCATTGCATTTTGTTTTCATTTACATTTTGCCCAGCGTCCCAACTTTTTTGGAAATGAGGTTGTATACTAAGAGGCTACCTTGAGACAAGGTGAGGTTAGTAGAGTCAGAGAGAGAACTGGCATGGAGAGAAGGAGCAAAGTAAAGAGAATCCATGTATTTTAGATAACGAATGGATGTCATAACTACAATGCATTGGAAGAGGCAGACTAAAACAAAATTCAACAAGCTTGTGATCAGAGATTCCAGTATGAATACCCGAACAGATACATTGACAAGACTAGAAGAGCAAATTGTATCCAGAAACCACATACATTTGTGGGAAAACTGAGCCCTCATCAGGGAGAGTCAAGTCAAGCTGTATTCAGATGCTCTAAAAATAATTAGTAACATGATTTGAAATGTGTGTCTCACAAATGTCTTCATATAAAACAGTTCATAAAAAAAATACAACCCATAGAGAAAAAAAAGACATATACGAAGACGGCCACCGATGTCAACACAAAATTTATTTTCTAGTCTATGGTCACAAGGTCAATGTCTATAAACTATTCACAGTCTCCCTTTGGCTAAATGCTCTATTTTCCATTCCCTTTCCTACATATATCTGGAATATGATCAATACCTAATAGTCAAAGCATGGAAAGATTATTGTTATGTTTTAATTTTAATTTGATTTAAAATAGCCATATGGTATTTATTATTACCTTTTACCTAATAACAACTTTGTGTTCAAGTTCTGTATAGGTAGCAGCCACTCCACTTCTGACTAAACAGGTCATGTTTGCGTGTTTACTTGTTCACTGTTAGTTTTTTAATTTTTCAAATGATCTTATTTTGTTGAATATTTAATCCCTTAATTTGTTTCTTAGTTTTACTTAGTTCTTAGTCTAACTGACCTTAACTTTTCTTTTGTCTGTGGATGCTGAGAAATTGATGAGCGTCTTCAGAAGCTGATCATGGCTCTTCTGGAGCGGTAGATCGAGCTCTGCAAGCGGAAAATGTGTTTAGAGGCATTTTGTTTTCCAGGCACCTGAGAGTCTTGGATATCTCCAAGCAGTTCCCGTGGCTCTAAGGATCATCATCTCAGGACCTCTGCTCACTTACAGGAAAAAAAGGCTCTATGCGCTTTACTGCTGGCTTCTAAGTTGGTGCAATAACAAAAGCACTGGCTACGTAAGCAACTGGAGTGCTTTCTGGGTGCGACTGGCCTTTTACTTCAGAGAGGGATTACAGCCAAGCTGCCATCCATCGTTCAATCATCCTGTCTGAGAACATAGAGAAGTTACAACAGCCCTGACTTGACGTAACAGTGTAAATGATGGACAGGTAAGTAGTATCACACAGTAGCCAGACATAATTCAGTCATGACCTTCTCTAGAGTAATTAATAAAAACAAATATAATATCAAAGCCATTTGTTCCACAATAGATGGACTAATTAATCATAACTTGTGTCTAATGGTGATTTATCTTCTAAAATTTCTGAAGACCTTTTCAGGCAATTCATTGTCAAAATAAAACAGGCTTGATAAGACAGATCGTAGCTCAGTCTGCTGAAACAAGTTCCTATGACCTTTCTAATAAGCCATTTACATTAGTAATGACATCTTTCTCTGTTTTCAATTACCAGGACCTTACAACTGCTATAAACAAATTAAGCGCATCCACATAGGATCCTGAATCTGTTCCCAATTAACTGTAACACTACTATTTTTTTTTTTCATTGGAATGTCCACAATGTCAAGTTTTTTTTTGTTGGTAGAGCTAAGAGGCATTTGCAAGATCGTTTGTCAGAACACAACTATGCCATCAGAAAAGGTAATGAGGCTGCTGAAATACCAACTTCTCCAACAGCAACGCTACAGTCAGTATGTTCTCCATTGAAACTTCTGTTCCGGAGTGGAACGCTTGTTTGTGTTTTGGCCTGTGATCCCACCCACTGCTCATTTCCCAGTACCTTTTCAACACCCTGGGTTTGCTAGATATAAAACACACTGCATGCTGCAGCCGTGGAAGCAAGCAAACAAACTGGATCCTGACCTAAAAGGCCTCAGCATCCTTCTAAAAAGCTACCATGACCAGAGACGTAGCAAAACGTGAGTAAATGAAAGAGAAAAAGAAAGATGGAGACAACTTACAGCCCAGAAGGACTTTAAGATAGGTGCCGAGTTTGATAACTGTCTCCTGAACAGGTAAGCGCTGAGCTTCAGCTAAGGTTAGCTAACCTTAACTAATTTATCACGGCTACTAGTAGGGATGGATATATTAAGTAATTTCAACATTTGAGTACTCGCATAATTTGTGGTCCGTGTGCAGCTGGCTTTGGCACCTATGAAGCAGGAATGCAACTGCTGCACCATTTAAGTTAAGGTGGAACAGGAAAATTCAAACAAGAAGCTGGCAAACAGGCTGAGGCACCAGAATTTAACTGCTGCACCATTTAAAACAGAATGGGAAAATTCGAACAAGAAGCTGGTGAATAGGCTGAGATGCCAGAATGTAACTGCTGAACCATTTAAGGTGGACCAGGCAAATTCATATAAGAAGCTGGAGAATAAGAAGCTAAATGCAACAATGACTTTTATTTGTGGAGCTGAGGGCTTTTGTTTTTGGGATAATAGGCTTGGCTTTGGCAATCGTCCATAGCCAGCCATGCCTCTAGCTAACACTGACAGAATTATTGCTCTTTTAAAACATTATAGTAATCATTCTATGCTTAGAATATTGGGTATTGATTATATTCCAGATACATGTAAGAAAGGAAATAGATAAAAGAAATTTAACCAAAGAGAGACTTTTAGGATCTATACGTTTTTTTTTTACTTGATTTAAATCCCTTAAAATCCCAGGCTTGTTACACACTAAATAACTACATGGACTTCACTGCAAACTGGCTTAGCTTTTCTTAGGTTATAAAAGTGTGTAATAAAACCTTGGGCTCGCCAGTGGGCTCTACGCATTTAAGGGGTTAAAATCTTTATTTTAGCCCCTATCCACAGACCTATTTGATGAGATTGGGGCAATCTAAGTTTTAGTTTATAGTTACTGACCTTAGACCTTTTACATAAATTTGGTTTTAAAAGCGGTGGAGGTTTTTGTATACATATTTTTAGCTTAATGGTTTATATTTTGTTATTATATTCTTATTATGTTCTTTTGTGTTGTGAGTTGTATTTGTCAATCACTAAAACATTCCAAGTTGTGATAAATTGACTGAGGGTATGTAGAGCATATGTGTAGAACTTGCATTGTGACTCTCCTGATGAAGGGTCATGGTGAAATGCGTTTAGAGATTTTTTTTGTCCATTATCATGTTATAATAAATGCTTTTTGACTCAATGACTCCATTTTGCTTTTTTATAACATCGTCACTATCCAAAAAAAACATGTATCTCCATTTTTATCTACTTTTACTTTTCTACTTCATTTGCACATGGCATTTTTATGATGAATGGACCAACAGAAACCCAAAATCAGGTGGAATAAAATCTCCTTAGATTAACTTTTCAACTTACATTAAAAATTAAATAAATAATGAGTGTGTCCCTAAACATGTTTGTTATTATCGTTGTTGATACTGGCAAACGTGTGCTACTTAACCTGTTCTAGTGCTGTTAAAATCTATTTTAAACGGATCTTCCCATTCTGATAATTTCACAATTAACTGGACTGCATGAAGTTAATTTTGTATCGTTTAATCATGAGCATGCACCAGCCATTTATTTTCACTTCAGTGTTTCATGAAAGAAAATGTAACTTTATAATTAACCTTTATTTTATCTGCTATGATAATAATGCTAATAGTTGTTAGCTTAGCACCAAGCTAACGATGGAGTCGCCATTTTCAAATTAATTCTAGCAACTCTACCAGTTTCTGATAGCTGGAAAATGGGAAAAAATTAAACCTGAACCAGTATGTTCATCGGTATATATGTTACCTTCTCCTCTGAATCTGTTTCCTGGCCATAGATAGGAATAAGGGGAAATTTTTAACTGTAAAAATTCTCAGAGTCAGGGCTAGCTGTGCTAAGGTAATACACAGTTAGCGTGCTTTTTCACTGCAGCAAAAGCACACTGAAACAAGATAAAGTTCCGAAGCACAGCAGCATTTAAAATGAGGAGAACTGGGGAGCTGGTCTACAGAGTGAAAAGTGAATGAGTTAACAAGTAACTCATTCTGAACACAGCTTCTGATTTGGTCTACAAGTGTGCTAGTATGTAATGTCTATGATGGTCAATGTGAGAGATTTTCATGACATCATTTGTGACAGTCAGATCTGAACTTTCCCAACATTCTGCTATTAATTTCCTAAGGCAAAAATCATTGAGTTTAAACAAACGCTGTACAAAAATCGCTGTGATTGGTCCTAATGACACAAAAGCACTCTTCTTGTGTAGGCTCTATGACCTTGCAGTTTTCTGGTTCTAGTTTGCAAACTGTGCCCTGTGAAACCTGTCCAAAGAAAGTGTAGAATAATGATGACACTAAGAAAATAACAAAAAACAGCAAGTTGCCTTTGTCAAGCCAAGTTAATTGAACTTACTATTATTATTATTATTATTATTATTATTATTATGAGTAGTGACTGTAGTAGTGGTATTATTAGTATTATTATTATGGAGTATCAACTCACGGTAGAGCTTAAGTGTGGCATGAGGCTTCTCAACTGTTACAAGTCCCAAGCAACAGATTCTTTTCTTATCCCTTATTCTTACGCCTCGTAAGGGAACTCAGTGGGCTCAGTTTAATGTGTGGAAATATATAATAAATATTTTATACAAATCTCTCTTGATAGTTCTGCCACGTCACACTCACCTTAAGGAATTCAAGGTTGATGTAGGGGAGACCGCAAGTGCGCAGTTCCATCTCTAAGGGGCTGAGCATGGTGAGGAGTTGCAGAGGAATGATGGAGCCCAGGCCTGCACGAACGGCGTTCATACACTCTATATTTTGCAGCTCACGCAGCCGAAGAGCACGTACTGATCGTGCATACATGTCCTTGTTCTCCCAACTGTAAATACACAGGAAAAAGGTGGGAATTTAGTAGGTTTATTTGGATAATACAGCAGAGAATAAAACGTAGTGTTTGAGTGTTATGTTTCTGATAAATTTCCCCCTCTTTCTATCAAACAACCCATTCTGATCCTGGATCTCTACCCATACGTAGGTTTTGGGCCCTACCTGACAGTAAGGTTGCGTCCACCCTGGCGAAGTTCCACCTCCTCGCCTGACATGGTTACGTAGGTGAAGGTACAGCACGGGCTGCTGGGCGAGTCAGGACTTTCGCCCGAGTGGTTCTGCGATGAGATCTCTGCACACAGTGCCTCAAGCTCTGCCTCATCAGTTACCTAAAAAGAACAAACCAAAAGAGGATCAATAAGAGGTCTAGTTGCATCTTATTTAAGGTGTTTTTAATCAAACATTTTAGATACTTCAAGTCATTGACTTCATTTAATACAAACACTTGCAAAATTACAAACACAAAAGACATCAACAACAGTTTTGAGCTCACTGAGCTTCCAGCTCAAAAGATTGCCCTTTAGCCTGTACTTCAGCCTATCGACTCATCTGTTTGCCACTTGGCTCGCTTGTTTAGGTAGTTTAGCCTAGTATAGTTAGTTTTTCTTTCTGTGATTTTGATAGTCAGGCTAGACACTGAAAATACAGACTAGGGTACGTTTGTTTTATGATGTTCTTTTCTTTGGTACCGTCCAGGTTCTCTCTCCTAGGTAAGATTAGCTCTACCATTATTCTTTACTTGTTTTGTTATGTTTTGTATAAAATATGTGAAAAAAGGAAAATCTTTGAAAACTGTATGTAAATGTAATTAATTTAATTCCATATAGAACCAATGACCATACTTGCTTGCTCACTCAAAGATGATGGTTAAAAAAAAACAACAAAAAATGAAATAAAAAAATAAGAAAAAGTCAGGTTTGAGAAAAACAGAAGAAATTAAAGAGAAAACCCTTATGAAACTGCAATATTTATAAGCTTTTAAAAAGTAGCTGTTAAAAAGTTGCAAAAAAAAAAAGTGCAGTTTCATGTCAGGACGTGTCTGTCGCAAAACCCACTGAAAGAAAAGAAAAAAAAAAGTACACTCCGTGACACTTTTATTTTTTTTGCCACATGTAGGCATACAGTATTTGATTATCAGCTAAACTGTATGTAAAGATAAATGTTATGTAAAAAAAACAAAGTAACTTTAGCTTGTAAATGGTACAGTTTACATTTTTATATAGGTGTTTTCTTATACACATTCTCCTCAAACATTCTATGATATAAAAAAGAATTAACAGGTGATTCTCTGATTGCAACTTTGTAAAGCAGCTCCAAACCACATTTTCACCATTATGCTTTACAGTTGGTATGAGGTTCTGATTAAATGCAGTCTTTAGCTTTCATTAAACATGGCTTCTGGTAGTGTTTCTCATTTATGATTTGTTCTCAGGTAAGAACAGAATCTATGCACACTCAATAGCACAAAAGTGTGAACAATTCTATGGTTTAAGAACACATCATGAATCTAACATAGACTGCATAGGATCTTTCTCATGAAAAAATTTAAGAAAAAACTTATATACGGATATTGCTGAATGAGGCCCATTGTTCTTGAAGTCCTGGTCCTTGCCTAGATATTGTTTAGCAAACTTTATTCTTGCCCTGATGTTCTTTTTAGACAGCACATGTTGTGCAGTCTTGTTTTAATGGTAGATGCACACACTTTCGCATCCACAGTGGCAAGCGCTACTTGCAAATACTGAGATGAAATTTTGAGGTTCTTAAAGACTTTTAGCTTCTTACAGGCTCTTCGGTTAAATTTGCTGAGGCAAAATTTTTAACATTTTGAAAACACTTCTCAAACTTCTTCTGAGACTCATAGCCATCTAAAACCTTAGGGCCTCAGAAAGTTCTTTTGATCTAGGCATGATAATACCCCAAACTCCAAAAGCAAAGAGCGAACCAGAACAGATAATTAAGGTTTTAATAACACCGGCTCCTGCGAGATAATCTCTAATGGTGTTCTAATCGTTAGCCCCTGATCAGGTGCTCCTAATTTTAATTTTGCACATTTGCAGTGGTTTTATATATAGTAGTGTACTTATTTTTTCCACATACGGAAATTGCATTTCTGTTCAGGTCAGTTATATAAAACGTCCTTTTTTAAAATAATAATTTAGGTGTCACTTGTTAAATTATATTACCTTTATCTACATTGTTTAAATGAAGACCAGTTGTCTGTATGTCCAAATATGCAAAAAAAGTCTTCATTTCACAGGGTAAGTATATAAACACATGACTGTTTATATACTTACATTTCATACTTAAACTAAGACTTCTATGAGATCTGAACTTGTCACTGATTACTGTTTGCACCCACAAAAGTTTCATCTACATACTGTTATCTCCATTTGTGATTGTGTATTTTTTCACTCATTTTTTTATTTTGTTAGACAAAATAGATATGACATTAACAAATGAGGAAGGACATGTCAGCTCATAAAACCCATCCTATAGCTGCACTAGAGTGAACTTAGCAAATGCTGAATCACAAGCTGCCTTTACTCCACACAGCAAACAGTGAAATATTATCTTGATTCCAAGGGCCTTTTAGTCATCTCTTTGTCCTCTTGTTTCAGTGTTCCTTCCTCAAAAAGTACGGTACTGTGTAAAACCACCCTTTTGTTGATTCGATTCCCAGTTAAAACAGCCATTAAGAATTAAGTTAGTAATGTTTCAGTTTCAGACCAAAAAAAAAAGGCAGAAAAGACATATTTAATGGAAAACATTCCTCGAATGCTGCAACACCTTGTATAATATCAAATCTACCATCCTACTGGTAGATGTTCCAAAGCACAGCAGCATGTACATCCTACTGATACTTTAACTCTTCAACTCATCCAATCTTAAAACCAATGAGTACCAGCTATGTCCTACCATCATCCAAAAAAACAGGTGTTCCTAAGTGTGTCACTGATATTATCAGTAACTGATATTATAAGGAAATATAAGATAAGATCAAGGTTCACCCTTAATTCAGATCTGAAAAAAAAATCTACAGATGTTTCTGTCTATCCCTTCACTGAGAGGAGAAAATTCAACACCAAGTGTCTGAAAGGACTGTAACTGTCAAGAAGTTGTTACTAAAAAAAATTAACATGCAAAAAAGAAGAAAATTTGCACTACAACACTGAAAGTGGACATACAACATGTGGAATAAGGTTTTGTAGACTGATTCTAAAGTTGAGACCTTTGAAAGTAACAGAAGGCTGTGTACAACCATCAGCCAAGTATCGTGGAGGATCAGTACAAGTCTGGGGATGTATAACAACATCTGAGTTGGCGATTTGATTTTGATTGCAGGCTCTATGAATGCTGATGAGTACAAACAAATTTTAATACATCATGGATAACTTCTGTTTGGGTTAAAATTCATTCTACAGCAAGACAATGACCCTGAGCACACTGCTCGCTCAGAAGACGAATATGTACTTACCAAACAGAGACACTGCTGATGTTCAAGGAAGATGATTTTTCATACGGCAAAAATGTGACATTATTTTATTTACTCTGTGCTATTGTTGTTACTTTTTATGCAGATGAAAAACTCCTTAAACATTTATGGTAATCCATGAGGTTGGCATGACGACAATCAAGATAACAGAGCAGCTGTGTCACAAGCGCTAAAAGTTTCTGAATTTTCAAAAGCAGCTCAAATGAGGCTGAAACTGGGCTATAAACATCCGAGCTATAGCCTGTGTGGAAATACTTCACGTTTCAGCTGCTGAATGAAGTAATGAAGCTCTTCACACTACTTTCAATTTTCCAAAATGGACAGTCCCAATGTCACTGTTTGCTTGATCTGTGAGGAGCAACAGAGATCTTATTTGCACTCAAAGACATTTTGCCTGTTTGTTCTGTGCTTCGTCTTGTGTGAAGCTGCATCTCCAAAATCAGCACAGATTGAGTTATTGAGGTCCCAGATGTGAATAAGAGAGCTTGTAAAGTTTTAGCTCCTAAAATGAGGGGGAGAAAGTCTCCATTCTGCTTTTGTTTGTTTTGTTTTTTTGAAAGCATGTTGCACAGTTCGCCCATTTTACGAGAAGCAAAGGACTGCATTATAGATATTCTGCCCCTCTTTTCTTCACCGCGTGTAAAATTTGGAACAATTCCAAGAAAAAAAACATATCACGCTGCATCTAATATAGTATAGATATGCTTTTCCTGTTGTTTTTTTCTTGTTGTTTTTGGTGTGTAATGGCCTTAAGAATAAAATTTGGAGGTGTTTACAAGAAGCATGGTAAAATATACCTCCAGATTTTACTGAAAAATTGAAAGCAAATCTCCCAAAAAGAATGGAAGCTGTAATGAAGGCAATGGATGTACATGTTAAATACTGAAAAAATGATGTGATATATTCAGTTGTTAAGGTGTCTGTAATTTTCTATTAAATACACATTTTCTGCTTTTTTTCCCGCGACACTGAAAAATTTATACCATTCACGTAATGACCATTTAACAAATTAAAGGATGGTTTAATGCACAGTATTGTATTTTTATGTTTGCTTAATGTCTTTGTCAACACTGAGACAAAACCACTGTAATGTGCAAAACAAGACAGTGAAGTCAAATTTAGCCAATGAGTATGTCTTACACTTTCAAACTTCTTGATGTAGTTGTAGGTGAGAAGGTCGGCTTCCTGTAGGTCTGCGTCAGGGTCCAGAACCTCACCCACTAGACCCTTCCAGACAGAGCCCAGGAGATCCAGAGGTAAAGGCACATCTGCACGGATGGCAATGCCCAGCAACTGGCCGAAGAAATGCAGCAGCTGCTCTTCAGCATAGCTGATGGGGCCAGGCCTCAGGATGTACTTCCCCTAAACAGCATATGTATTAGTATAATCTAATATATAAGCTCATTATCTCAAGTCATGACACACACACAAACCCACACACACACTCACACATTGAGTGTAGAGTTGGACGATTAGGACTGCACACCTTGTTACGATTAGCAGCAGCGCTAGGGCACAGGAGGAGCAAAGATAGGGTGGTGCTTTGCAGTTCCTTGCAGACTTGCCACAGGAAGTGGCGAAATGAACCACCTAAGAAAAAATTAAAAAAATACTAATTTATTGTGAACTTCAATTTGGATAAAGCACAAAAGAAGGTTATTTGACTATACAGTGTGTATATCTTGGACACTGACTAGTGCCATGGACTTCTTCACCAGTGAATCTTATGTTGAAGGCATAAGTAGGGTCTCCTCCACTTGCGAGCCTGACACAAAGCTGAGAAGATGGAACGCTAGACAGCTGCCGGGCTGCCTGGCAGAAGTAGGTGTTCTCTGAACAGTGGATCTCACCTGGACACATGCACACACATACCTCCACTTGAACATGCGTAACAGGAGACAACTGATGTGAAAATACTGCTTTGCACTCCATAATACCTCCCACTATCTCTAGTGGGTCCAGTGTGATTTCAGGAGCAGCATGGTCAGCAGTGCGCTGCACCGTTGCATTCAGCACTCTGTTCATTACGGTCACTTTGGTGTCATAAAAAACAAGACCTGAGAAAAAAATTAAGAAAAACATCGTTTGTGAGGGCTAAGAAATATGGGGACTAAGAAAAGGAAGGGCTAATTTCACTTACGTATTGCCATTAAGGTCAGGCATATTAAGCCTAGTCCTGAAACTACACTGTTAAAGGAGATTTTCCATTATAGTCTATGTAAAGTAGGACTAGGACTCAACTACTAACATATAGGAGCATATGTAGAATCCCACCTTTGGCCTCACACAGCAGGGCAGCTATACTATTCTGATAAGTATGTGTCTGCCTGAGCTCCACAAGTGGCAGGAAGAAACACTCCAGGGTGTTATTAAGGGACTGTAGCAGAGCGAAGCGCAGGCGTAAACCTTCCACAGGTATGTCTACAGAGTAAAATGAAAAAAAAAATTCAGAACATCAGTTTCAACAGATTCGTAAAAGCTCAAAATGTTTATTAGCCATTGTTAAAGCAAATTACTTAATTATTATCGGAATCAAATACATGAACCGTGGCCCAAAACAGCATGAAGTACTTGTATGGATGCCACCTAAAAAATTTCTTATCAACTTGTAATGTCTTACTCAGAAGACATGAGACTCGTGGGTCTGTTGCATCTATGGGGTCAAGGTACACTTCATGGGGGTGTAGGCGGGCAGGAGTGATGGCCAAATGGCGGCAGAGACGATTAACATACTGGACCAGTGCAATGTCCATTTCTAAGGTCCATTTCCTGCTGATTTTCTGGGCATGTCGTGTATCAAGGCACGAGCATCTACAGAAGAAAACAAAGAGGCTGTAATTTACACAAAGACATACAGAAAAGTGACAAAGTAAAGGAAAAAACAATATGTAAAGCGTTGGGCCACCACAGGCTGTGCCTTGGCTACAGATTCTCTGGAACTGTACTGGAGGGATGAAAAACGATTCTTCCAAAAGACATTCTCTAAATTAGTATTTTGATGATAGTGGTGTAGGTGTCTCCTATAGGTGTTCAAATGGGTTAAGATCTGCTACCTGCCACAGCATATGATTTAAAGATTTTCAGACTCATCAAACCATTTGGTGAGCCCTGCTGCCCTGTGGATCGGGTCACTGTCATCCTGGAAGAGAACACTCCCATGAGCATAGCAATATTTCATCATAGCATAGAGGTGATCAGTCAGAATAGCTCTATATTGATTTGCAATCAACCTTCCCTGTAAGAGGACAAGTAGACCCAAACCACACAGGCACAATACCCCTCACAGCATAACAGAGCCACTGGTCCCACTCAAATGGTCAAGCATTCAATCCTGCACCATTCTCTTGGTTTACATGACACATGTACTTGCCCACATGCATTTGACTATACCACTTTTTTCAACATCTCTGCAGATGAGTGATTTTGTTTTTTCCACCACTGAACTCTGAAATGTGTGTCACAGTAATGAGGCACTGCAACCATACTATGATGTCCCTTTCTACGTAATGAACTGTCCTTGCTGACACAGTCTGATGACATCCTGCATTAACATTCTCAGTCATCTGAGGAACAGATGCTCTTCTGTTTTTCCTTACATATCACATTAATGCTAGGCAACAAGGTCACCGAATGTGCTGAAGGATTGAATAAAAATATTCCTGGTTGGTAATCAATAAATTAAACACTGGCTGACTAGAGACCCCTCCTAATAAGGTAATATAGGGAAGCAGACTATGGATTGTATGCAGTAGACTCTCTAACGGGGAAAGAGTTTCTGGGCCCACAGAAGGGAGTTGTGCCAGATGAAAGTTTAAGTTATAGCTGAGGTACACTCTTGTATGTATATGTAGGGTTGTGTGAGATGGCCCTATGGAGAGTTGCGCAAGAGGGCCCTGTAAGGAGAGAACAATCTGGTAAGAGTCAGACCAGAGTGGGTTTTAAAAAAAGACATCATATGCGTTTGGTTTTAAAGGCTGCCAAACAAGGTGTAAGGAAATGTTGGAGACCAAAACGGTATGGAATTGTGTAACTGGGGTGGGGAGATTAACTCATCACCCCAGAGGGGAATAAAAAGGGATGTTTTGACAAGTTCTTTGCATTGTGATTGACTGGGAACCATCTTGCCATTTGATGCTCAATAAAGCGAAGGTCTCTTCCTTCATTCCACAAGAACTCAGCGACTTAAGTCTTTTTGCATTCCTTTTTATCCTTTTTCATTTTTGTTGATATTCTTTGATTTTTTTAATTCTTTTTGAAGATATTAGATTACAGATAGTTATTAGAGCGATAGAACTGATAATATTAGAGTTACGTATAAATGTCCAGACCCTGGGAAAAAAGAGAGAGCTCTTGGTTGCGACAGTGCTCTTTCAATCACAATTTCCAACTCTATTTAATGTCTTTCCTGTAAAAATCTAAATGCAGATGTCACTTTAGTCACTGTTCCTATACAAATATTAGCTTGCTGACAAGTCTTAGTGACTATAGCTCCATTCATGCCCCAATAATAAACTCTCTCTCAAAATCACCTACATCTTTTCTTCTTACCATATAAAATAGAGTGCATTTTTGTATATGTCACAGAGAGTGGTAAGTTGTTAATTGCCTAATTGTATCATCCACTACACTGGTCTGGAAAAGATATATAGACTAAGTTTTTTTATGTACACCCCCCATCTTCATACAAATTTTATATTCTAAGTTACATCACATGACTGTGGTGCAAGGTATAAAATCAAAAAGACGAGAATTTCTAGCATTAGGAAGTGTTCAAGTGATTGTTGTGCAGTATATCATGTCAGAATGCACTTATTTGACTTCCCCAAATGAGCTACAAGGTGGTCAGTTGAAAACAAGAAAACATATCTCCAGAAAATTGCATTAAAATTGGACCACTAAGGAGTGGGAAAGTTAACTGGTTGGATAAATCCAGGTTCCTTTTGCATCTTACTGATTAAAGTACCAGAATCTGGAGCAAGCAACAAGAGTGAGTGTGGTTAATGTTTTCACTGTTTTTTTTTTTATTTTATTTTTTTTGGATTTTCTCCCCAATTCCACCCACTAGTTAGGACTCCCCCAATCACACGACACCACCAGCACTAGGAGGGTGAAACCTAGCACAGGCTTCCTCTGAGTCCTGCGAAGCGCCACTACATCTTTTCGAACTGTCACTCATGCTCGGAACACAGCGCCAACCGCCAGATGTGTTACGTCAGCTAACAGGCGACTGCGCTGACCAGCATCGCGCTGACTGATTGGGAAGAAGGGGGGCCATCCTACCCACCCTGAGAGCGAGGCCAATCATGCTCTCTTGGACTCCCAGCCACGGATGACTGTAGCATCACCAGGGATCAAACTCGCGATCTCCTGATGATGGGGCCAACGCTTTGACAGTTGTGCCACTCGGAAGCCCCCATTGTTTTCATTCCCCTCTTGAGAATTTGTTAGTTATGCCATAACTTGATTGATTGATTCACTGCACATAAGTGATTACACATTTGTGTATCATGTGGCTACTTGCCAAAGAAAGAAAGAACTTTGGTCAAAGTACATTCTGATTCAAAAGGGGATAGTATTCATGCTAACCTTTCAAAGTGTAGGTCATAACCACATGCCAAGATGGCACGCCAAACACTGCGAATGTCCTGTTTGGCCCGGTCCACAGTGAACTTGTAGAAACCCTCCAGAGTTAGATACTTCTCTTCTGGGACTGAAATATGAGGCAGAACAGTTAGACATACACATACGTGCTCAAGCGCATAACTGAAGAGGCATGAAACCTGAGATACACATACAAACTGCAGAGTAGACCTGCATGATGTGGGCAAAAATTTAATTTTATGTTCACTGCTAAAGATATTTGACAGGCATGCCTATATTGCTACATTTTTAATTTTTTTATGCAGATTGACATGAGTATTTACTATCAGTGGCTTATAAGTCCTACGTCACTTGGAACTGATAAAGCTGAGAGAACAATTGAGAGAACTCCCCGCCACACACAAACAGTTTTTGGAGCAAAGCTGAGGCTGAATGTTTGTGTCTAAAATAGATTACTTATCAGGCTACAGGGGTCAGTTGTGGGCAACAATCTTAACTGAAGTTGTCACGGTTATTAAACAGAAAAGATAAGATTTCAAAGTTAGGATGTTTCTATTACATGGCCACTGATTTTTTTAAGCACGCTATGTTGACCCCTCTCTGAATGAACAACAATTTTTAGACACACACAAGTCACATGGCTAGTCACATGGAATATATGAAGAGAAACCCTCACTACCCCAACACTATGTAAAGTGACATATCTACAAACATTAGAGGTATACATAAAAACATGTCAAAAACCTTCTTGTTTTTTGGTAGGTGACTTCTCAGGGTCTTTCTCATCAGGTCTAGCTTTCTCTGGAGACTTGGGCTTTAGGACTGGTTTCTTCTCACTTAATGCCGTGCTGTTAAAACAAAATTAGAAATAGTTATTTGTATAGGATAACCGACGCACTCTTGAATGCAGACGCTAGCAATTTTATGATACTTTGGAATGAATTCTTCAAAGTACAGTAAATTCTACTGTTTTTTATTTCTTAACTAACATTTTACCTGGATACCATATTTTCATAAAATGGGCTCAAGCTCACACGCCATGTATAGGTGGTTTTCTTCTATAGACACAAGACCTGTTGTAAAGTAGGTACTCTTTGACATTTTAAAAATATTTTTAACGTTACAGCATGATGTACATGATGTACCGAATTTGTGCCATTCACAAATAGTACTCTATGATGCCAAAGTGAAAAAAATTCAAGCATTCTCTGAAATTAATTCATTTGCTGCTCTTCCACTCCATCCTCACTGTCACAACTTTCCATTTTCTCAATTTCATCTTTTAGTTTCAATTTGAGTACCATGCTGTTACTGTATCATTCCCCACTACACTTCTTATCACAGGCAGCTTCACAGATGAGCTAGACACTCTTCTAGCTAGTCTCTTCCCCACTCACTGTCCTTGATGACTTCAACATTTCAACAAGCTGCAGTTATCCTGCCTCCCTCCATAATCTTTTGATCTCAACCAGTCTCCTCCGACACAGAGAAGGCAAGTTTCTGCACCTGATCTTCAACAGGCCTACCCCAGCACTGGATCTCACAGTAATCCCCCTCCACTTCTCAGATCATCACTTTCTATCTTTCACTGTCTTTCTATCTGTCCTTCTATGCTCTTCCAGTACACATCAACCTCTCACATTTTTCTTTTACTCGCTACAAGCTGCACTCCATCTCTCCCTCATCCCTTGCTTCAGCTATGTTAACCACCCTTTCACACCCTGACTCATTTTCTTTTCTCTTGCTGGAAACAGCTACAGATATTTTCCTTTCATCACTCTCCTCTTCAGTTAACCTTCAGTGCCTACTCTTCAACCAACCTTATGTGCCCACTCTCCTCCAGCTGCTCCCTGGTTGACAGGTGCCCTGTGCAGCATCTGAAGACAACTAAGAATGGCTGAGAGAAGGTGGAGGAAACCCAAACTTGATTCGTACCAATCTCTCTTTTCAAAGTTCTCATTGAAGTTGACTACCGCAAAGCCTTCTTTCTACAAATGGAAACTGGAAGCATCCGCATCTGATCCACACAGCTTTTCCAGGACCTGCTCCCTCCATCACTTCCACCATGAACAGCTCCCCTATACTCAGCTGCCTTCAAAGCTATGACTGTGATGCTCCACGCAGCTAGGTGAACTTTTCTTCAGCCTTCAAAACTGTCAACCCCAAAAACCTCCTATCTGTCCTCTCCAACCTTAGAATGACTGGCTCTTTACATTCACTCTCTTGGTAACATTTTCTCATGGGTTCTCCTATCAATGCTATGTTGATGACAACCAAGTAATCCCAGCTCCCAGCAAGACCAAGCTGCTATTCATTCCGGTTCTGGTTCCGGTTCCGGTGCGCCGTAGAATGGCCGCACTGGTGAGAGCTCCGGGTAAACTCTACAGTTTTTTGTGTTTTATTGTGCTGTTTCTTTGTTTTTTTGCACATACCGCTTTTGGGATCATTGATCGACAAACTCTTCTGAACATCCGATCATCGCTCAAGGAAGCGCAAGAGGGGCAGACGCGCCAGGATATTATGCAGGACAAGGAAGAGGTGCTTCAACCCTCCTCTTCCAAGTATTCTACTTGCAAATGTTCAATCGCTGGAGAACAAAATAGACGAGCTGAACGCGCGGATCAGGTTTCAGCGCGACATCAAGAGCCGCTGCGTTTTAGCGCTCACAGAGATGTGGCTCTCCGCGGCAATACCGAACAACGGCATCACACCGGCCGGCTTCACCATCTACCGCCAGGACAGAACTCTGGACTCTGGTAAGGGCAGAGGCGGCGGGGTATGTGTTATGGTGAACTCTCGATGGGGAACAGATGTAGCGGTTCTAGCTAGTCACTGCTCTCCAGACATTGAACTCATAACAGTCAAAGTTCGACCCTTTTTTTTGCCCAGGGACTTTAGCTCAGTCATTCTCACTACAGTCTACATCCCACCGCAGGCAGATAAGTCACATGCTTTGGAAGTTTTGTACGAGACCATTGATGGACTTGAGAACGTTTACCCTGAGGCTGTTTTTATTGTGGTTGGGGATTTTAACAGGGCAAACTTGAAGAAGGTTCTGCCCAAATACTACCAGCACATTAAAATTCCCACCCGAGGAGAACAGACTCTTGACCACTGCTACACCGCAATCAAGGACAGTTACAAACCCCTCCCCCGCCCTGCCTTTGGCAAAGCTAATCACACCTCTATTCTTCTCCTGCCCACATACAAACAAAGACTTAAACAGGCAAAACCAGATCTCAGATCAGTCTATCAATGGAGTGAGGAGTCCATCTTCACACTTCAGGACTGCTTTGAATCCACAGACTGGAAGATGTTCCGTGATGCGGCTGGCACAGACATCAATGAATACACTGACTCCATCACTAGCTACATCAATAAATGCACTGAAGACATTGTACCAAAAATCAATGTCAGAACTTTTCCCAACCAGAAACCCTGGATCAATGCTGAGGTTCAAGCCAAACTAAGAGTTCGGGCTGCTGCCTACAACTCTGGAGACCCGACTAGCTACAAGAAGGCCAGATATGACCTTCAGAGGACCATCAGGCTGGCCAAAAGGAGCTACAGGGACAGACTGGAATCCGACTATCTTGGCTCTGATCTCAGACGTATGTGGAGTGACCTGCGCACCATCACTGACTACAAAGAAGGTGGGATCTGTGATAGGGGCTCTTCCTCCTCACTTGCAGATGAACTTAATGCTCATTATGCTCGTTTTGAGGCTACCAACACCTCACCTGCTGAGAAACTCCCAGTAGATGAGGAGAGCTGCGCTCTAGCCATTCCCCTGTCTGAGGTGGTGAGATCCTTCAGGGCAGTTAACCCACGCAAGGCACTCGGTCCCGATGGCGTCCACAGCCGTGTACTTAAAGTATGTGCCAACCAGCTGGCTGAGGTTTTCACTGACGTCTTTAACCTCTCCTTAAGACTGTCAGTGAATCCCAAGTGCTTTAAGAAAACCACAATTGTTCCAGTACCCAAGAAATCGTCTGTCACCTGCCTGAATGACAACCGCCCTGTTGCACTCACATCAACAGTTATGAAGTGCTTAGAGCGGCTGATCAAAGCCCACATCTGCTCAACACTTCCAGCCACCATGGACCCTGACCAATTTGCATACCGCTCCAACAGATCCACAGACGACGCCATTGCACTAACAATACACACTGCTCTCACGCACCTGGACAGAAAGAACACATATGTAAGAATGCTGTTCATAGATTACAGCTCAGCATTCAACACAATCATCCCTGCCAAACTCATTCCTAAGCTCACAGACTTGGGTTTGAACTCTCATCTCTGCAACTGGATACTGGACTTCCTGACGAGCAGACCCCAAGTGGTGAAAGTTGGTAACGGCTTCTCTTCTACACTGAGCACAGGGGCTCCACAGGGATGTGTGCTTAGCCCCCTCCTTTACTCCCTGTATACACATGACTGTGTAGCCAAACACACGTCTAACATCATCTTCAAGTTTGCTGATGACAATACCATCCTAGGCCTCATTACTGATGGAGATGAAACAGCCTACAGAGACGAGGTCAGCGCTCTGTCAGAGTGGTGCCATGACAGCAATCTCTGTCTCAACATCAGCAAAACAAAGGAGATGATCGTGGACTACAGGAAGCGGCAGAGGGGTGGTCACTCTCCCCTGTTCATCAATGGAGCCGAAGTGGAGAGAGTCAGCAGTGTGAAGTTTCTCGGCATACACCTCACTGATGACCTCACCTGGTCCCTCCACACCAACACTATTGTGAGATCTGCCCGTCAGCGTCTCTTCTTCCTGCGCAGGCTCAGGAAGTTTGGTCTGCCTCCTCAGATCCTCACCAACTTCTACAGATGCACCACAGAGAGCATCCTCACAGGGTGCATCACTGTCTGGTACAGCAGCTGCACTGCCTGTGACCGCAAGGCCCTTAAAGGAGTGGTGAGGACGGCAGAAGCCATCATAGGCAACAGACTACCAGCCTTACAGGACATCTACTAGTCCCGCTGCCTCAGGAAGACCAAAAGGATCCGGTCAGACAGCAGCCACCCAGCACACAGCCTGTTCACCATCTTGCCATCAGGTAGGAGATTTTGTAGCATACATGCTAGGACAACCCGGTTAATGAACAGTTTCCATCCACAGGCTGTCAGGCTTCTGAACAAGCTGTGAAGCTGTGGGTCCTTCACCAACTACCATTTCACTCAGTCTTTTTGTCAGTATTATTATTACATCATATCATCTCTGCTATGGACAATAACACCTTAATTAACACTAAGCCACTTTAAGAACAATAACACTAAATCACTTAAGTCACTTTAAAATGTATATTGCCTGTATATTTGTGTACATTTCTCTATATTTGTGTATATTTTATCGGTATGTTCTCTATATTTTGTGTATATTTAATATATTTCAGTTTGTTTTTCTTGTAATTTTATTTTTACTTATTTACTTTCTGTAGTGTGATTGTCTGAGCCTCACCACAAACATTTCAATGCATAAATGTCCTGACACGTTGTGCAAATGACAAATAAACTTGAAACTTGAAACTTGATTCCGGGAAGTACACATCTTCTCCATGAGACTGCCATCTTCTTTGAGCACTATTTGGTCATGCTGTCTGAAGAGGCACAAAGCCTTGGTGTTATTCTGGATGACTAGTTATTATTCTCGGGTAATACTGCAAACCTGACTCAGTGATTTCTCTCTAGGGAGGCCACCCAGGTGCGTCTCTTCTTTATCTTAAGGCTTACATACTGCAACTCACTCCTGACGGCCTTCCTATGCAGGCAACCATATAGCAGCAAGGCTTGTCTTCAGTATTGAGAAAATAAATTGTATCGCTCCACTGCTGTG